CGCAGCTTCTATTTGATAAACAATGCAGCATTGCGATTTTTTAAAAAAACTTCGAGCGATGATATCTCAGTAACCACTTGATTAAATTCAATGAATTTTTATTTATTTGAACCCTATAGACTCATAAAATGCAAATAAAAAAAAATCATCGAATTTGATTAGATGGTTGCTGAGAAATCGTAACAATCGATTGCAATCGGGCATGCAGTGACCTACAGATTTTATCAAAAATAAATCATTTTGCAAATAGCGATAAATGAATGCTAATATTCTAAATATCATTTAGAACCAAAATCATCATAAAAGATACTTGCATTCTCGAAATATCATAATTTGACAACGTATTCTTTGTGAAACCGGAATTGAATAGTTATATCTCAAGAACAAACAAACCTTTTTTGATATTTTAAGTTTAAATGAATGCACTAAATTGTAGCATTCGTTTGGACCTAAATTCATCGAAAATAATTTAGCTATTCTCGAATTACAGAAAATTTCGGATAATATAATTTACTGGTTCATCCGGTACTGTTTTGGCGCAACGCAGCTGCGCACCTACCTTATTATTGATGTTACTACAATAATGCCGATTATTAATGCTTAATGCAAATTTTAAGAGCTAGGCTCGCTATGATAATATGCAAAATTTTGAATATTACTTACAGTAACAACTTTTAGAGTTATAATTTGAATTATGTCATTAAATTTTAATGCCGTTTCTTGAAAATTAAATAATGAAAAAAAAACTTTGATTCACCTTATATTTAATATATTTATTTATTTAAATATTTGAGTGATGTTAATGGCTTATCTGCTATTTATAATTCTTGTAATTGGCTTTTAAAAAACTAAATATACAAGCTGGGCCAAGTCAGTAACATCTCCAGTACTATATAAAAGCCTTTTATAAATATATAAAGTCATCGATTTGAAACTAGGTTTGTCAATTTGAATTTAGACTTCGTCTTTCCGGTTTGGGCTTCGTCATCATACGGAAAAGGTTTCGCCTTACAACTACATTCTGGTTGTACGTCAACTTGAGTTATTAAATGAAGTGTAAAGTTTAAAGACCAAGCGAAGCAACATTTAAATATTTTGGCATCTATGTTTTATGATTTAAAAAAAAAGAAAAAAAAAAATAGAACTAGAATCGCAAAGAGCGAGTCCGAGAGATACTGTTGAAAAAAAATCTTTCAATATAAATATGACATAGATTGAATTTGAAAAATGTTTAAGCAAGTGAAGCCATATAAAAAACTTGTCAATAACGTTTATGATATAAAAAAAAAAAAAAAAATCAAATTTAAATTGGTAGAGCGAAGTGAGGTTGAAAGACATATAAACTTGTCGTTTATGTACTTGCCTATTTATATTTAAAACTAATCTTGTGTGCTAAGTGCTGAGTTATTTTATTTTCGTTAAAATAGAATAAATTTAGAATCTTTAAAAAGAATTTATTTTATATTCACCAGTGGTAAAATTCACCATCCTAAAAATTTTTAGCAAAGGGTTTATATAACGTAATGTAGATTAGATATAAGGCCCTAATTTTACTTCTTATGAGGTTTTCAGAGGTCCTGAATATTTTTACTTAGACACCCTAACTTTAATTACTTAGTACGTTTTTGAGATATAGCACCTAGAGATGGGCAAAATCGCGGTTTCTCCAAAAATCCCGCGCTGGATAGAATCACAAATCTGTAAGGTTAATTTTTTGTGCCAAATAAAAAACTATGCAGAAATTTTTGTTGAAAGTCAATTTTTTTGTTCTACTGTAAAATTTCGAAATGGCGGCATGGGTGTTTTTTCGAAATTCGGCCAGAATTAAACTTAATACGGGCCAAAATTCGAAATAATGCCCATGCCCAAGGTTGTAAAATTATGATAATTTACTTTTCAAGTAATTGCATTTGGTAACTTACATAATAACTTACCGGTAATTACCACAGTAACTTACCATGATAAGTTACCACTAACTAGATCCGCAAATCCATTTTGAATCCCATAATTTGCAGATCCGAATCCAAAGAGAGATTCTATCGAATAATATCGATTCAAATCCATTATTATTACAGAAATACACAAACGCCAAAACTCTGATTTCTTGTGATTTTTTTTTTTCGAAAAGCAAAATACATCGAGCTAATAGTGCCAGATATCGAACTTCATTGAATAATTTTAACATGAATGAATGTACAGCATATATTAATAGGATAGTGTGTGGGTTAAGAAGATTCAGGTGCAATTCTTGCTTCTTGTGGACAGTAGCACATTTATGCTTGTTTCTGAAATGAGGCTATGATTAGCGTTAGCGTTAGTACGTAATTAGATCAAGTTCCAAATTAAGCAGTTAATTAAATATACTTGCCGTATAATCGCGAAATAACGCTCGTGGACGTTATTTTGAAAATCAGGTGCTTCAAAAATAACTTATATGGTCGCGAATTAACGCTCATGAGCGTCCCGAATTAACGCGATAGATATGTCGATACTCCATATGCGCACTCAATAAATGCACTTTCCCTATAATGATAAGTGCTCATAATTTGATCGGCCTAATGTAATTATGTATGTAGATTATTCTCCATAAATGAATAAGTAGCTGCGCGGTATTATCGTGCTAAACCAGGAACGGATCAATATAAGCTTAATTTAGAAAATGTTAACCAACTCCAATACAGATACGTAGTTATATATAGTTTTGAATTCAAATATCGGGTATACAATTAAATCCAGCATAACTACGGACAGTAGGCGCAGCGTACATAACTTAAATTTGTTGAAAATGATTGGCGCTCTGCACGTATTAACAAATAAATTTACTTTACATATAAAATATTTTTTTGCGAACATAATTTTAAAGTTTGCGCGAATATCATTCATATATAATACGCGCCTGCGCCAATAAAATTTTTTTGAATTTATAACACTGAGCATAACTATATTGATATGAGACACTACAATTTAAATAAACATTTGAAATTTTATAAGATTTTTCGATGTATATAGTATAGAATGTAATATACCTTTTTAAAAAAATATCATATCAATCCACTATAATTTTCTAATGCTACCCTAATAATACATGACGCCAAATAAATATTAAAAATAGGGGTATTTCACACCCCATACGGAAGACTCTCGGTCAAATCCGGATATAATGATTAAATCAGGATATAAATGAATAAATCTAGATCAAAGTATTAACTCTTAGTGGACAGCTACATATTTAAATCCGGACTAAATCCGAATTTAATGGTTAAATCCGGATCTAATGATTAAAGGATATAAATGGTTAAATCCGGATCCAAAAAAAAAAAAAAGGTGAGTGCTAAAGATCTAGTGAATAGGTATGCAAATTTGCATCAGGTCACCGATATTTATATCTAATAATCATATAATATGTTATAGCGCATGTAATTGCACTTACGCCATAGTTGCATCTGGTTCTTACTTTTAAATCATTTGATTAATTTTGCATACCGCAATAGAATAGATCACAAGAAAACCCGTGCGCAGGTGTTGCCAGATATAGAAGAAAGTACTACATATGCTCTGTGAAGGTGCAACATGCGAATTTCCTATATGAATTCACACCTTTGCTTCATCATATGCGTTTATCCAATAAGGTGCAAGATTTTGCGTACGAACATATCATTCCGTTTCTGGTTCGTACGTACTGTACGTACACTTCGCAATATCACGTTCCTGGATACTGCTGCATATATATGATCCGCCGTCACAACATCATACAAAATGATGATACCTTCCACTGCAAGGAAATAAGCCGGTAGATCTCCGGTATTACGACCAGGGAAGAGCTCTATAGGGCTTGAACTAATTTAGCTTCGATCGTGAACAAATAGTGATTAAGGTCAAAGGGTTTAAATCGATAAATTAACATTCATAATTACAGGTTATAAGGTTTCTCTTTATTAACATAAATCAATAGATCGAATTATTACAATAATACTAAATATTATTAACAATCGTTCTAACTAGTGCTCGGCACAATCAAGCAAAAATTTGATAATTAAATATTTGTAATTAGTCTGATGTCAACCGATCGCAGATCAACCAAAACTAAATATATAGATAGTATTGGTTGAACTGCGATAATTTGATGTCCGACTTAATCACAAGTATTTGACTGTCAAATTTTTGTTTGATTGTGCCAGCACTAGTTCTAACAACCATTCCTCCCTTAGCAGACTGAAACCACACCCTTATATATTCGTAAATTTAGCCTGAAGTCTTAAACTCCCATTGAGAGTCTCTTTCCCCGTCTGGGAGTTATTTACTCTCTTCGGGAGCTTATAACCCCCTCCAGGAGTCAAAGGCTCCAACACGACACGATGATCATTCCCAGGCTATACCCAAATTAAAATAATTCTGATAACAATAATATAATAAAATACTAAATTAAAGAAAATTTTCTCGGGCGTAACACCGGGCCCGAAGGCCCTTATATAACCCCTTATTAATATATGCCATATAATATTATACACCAGAATGAGAGAATGAAGTAGTGAAATCGAAATTATAAATGATCATCCTTTTTTTAAAATATATAAAGATAAATCCCATATATCTGTGTATTCATATTATTCTAATAAATTTTCTAAAAATACGCTATATTAACAAAAATGAACAAGAAATATATACTATGTATATTTGTTGTATTATTAATCATAATAAATTCGAGTTATGTGTTTCCTGCATATTCTAAACCTATGAGTAAAAGAGCAAAGCTGGTGGTACCTGTGAGTAAAATATTTGACATTTCACCAGGAGAAAGAACAAATAATATAAAAGTATCTTTTGATGACGATATTAATAATTTAAATGCTGTCGGACTTTTAAATGCTGTAAAAGCAGATGGAACAGAAATTAATTGTACCGCCACTGTAATTAAAACCAATAATGGAAGCGTTGCAATTACTGCTGCACATTGTATTTATGATCATAAACTTAAGAAGTTTAATACTAAAATTTATTTTTATCCTGGGTACAACAATGGAGTAGAAGGTAGAATTGGAAAAGTTACTGCTTATAAATCGTTTATATGGGATAAATTTTTAGACAACGTTGAAATTTATGATTATGCCTTTACAAAGTTTTATTACAAAAATGGAAGAAAATTACAAGGTGATACAGGAGCTTTCGATTATGATCTCGATATACCTCATGGAAATTATTCAACTACTGTATTTGGTTATCCAGTTGATGGTGATATGGACTGCCCCAGAGATGGAAAACACCTTTGTAAGTGGCAAGGGAATTCATTTGATTTTCCAGATAATCTTCCAAATGCCACGTCGTATAGAGGTATACCTATAGATGTTGGTTATGGCTCAAGTGGGGGTCCCTGGATGAGAAATTATGATCCAACTACTAACACAGGCACTGTAATGGGTATCTCACATGGTATATTAAATGAACCCTATCCTGAAACAGATACTGCCGCTTGTCTATGGTATCATGACGAATTTTTAAGCATGTTGAGGCTTACTGAATTTTAGTAATTTACAAATTCTGTTATTCAATATACAGTAACATAATTCTAACGAATTTAAAATTTTCTTTAAATGTAAAATAATTAAATTAATTTACACCTTTTTAATTTAAAGGAAAAATATTTTAAAAAAGAACGTTATTTTTTATTAATTTACATATGGGCTGATTGTGCATGCCGATCTTCATCAAAACAATCTAATTCTGGTCAAATTCGCAGATCATTTGGCCTGGGGGGATGAGTTTTAAAACTCATCCCCCCAGGCCAAATGATCTGCTAATTTGACCAGAATTAGATTGTTTTGATGAAGATCGGCATGCATGATGAGTCCAATCAGCCCACATGATACTCTCAATTTTGAATATTTCCATCTGCAATTTTACTCGAGAATACTTTTTGAAACTTTCTACTTCTTCATCAATATGCTAATATATAAGATAATCTTAAATTTTTATTGGCAAATTGTTATATTTAAATACATGCATGCTTATATTAAGTAATGCATCAGAAATTCCAAATTGATTTTCTATTCACCTTCCCTTTAGATCTTATTTAAGGCTATCAAATTTATAAAAATTTATTAAAAGTTTTATTTCTAATAATCTAATAATTTACACTCGTGCAAGTTCATTGGCATTTAAATATTCTATTCTTTTATCACATTGAACTTGTTTTCTAAATCATTATAGATAAAACGTAGCACTAATCAGTGAGCCTTGTAGTTATGTCGTTTCGAGACCCAAATGACTTAGAGAGTCATTTAACATATGTTAATTGATATTCTATTGCCCTTAAGCCAATCAGAATTTGCCGCCAAACAAAATTAAAATAATCGATAATAGTAGCCATATATTAAAGTCAAATTTTTTACTAAATTAATTAATACATATATCTTAAAATGAAGCTGTCTGAAATAATAAATTGCAATATTCTGAAATTTTCATGTAAACTGAAGAACTTTTATTAATTTACTTCCGCGCTTTACATTTGTACGAAAGTTAAAAAGTTTTTCAATTTATAAATATTAATTGACTTTGACTTTAATACGTATATAGCTACGATTATCGATTAGGAATGTAATAAAGTTTGATAGCTTTTTATATGAACAATTCGACCAATAAAATTATTTTATATGCAAATGATCTAGTAAATGAGCTTAATGACCTTGTCATTATTTGATGATTTGGGTCATTTAAATTTCGATCAAACGACCGGATCATTTACCATTCATGGGTTGGGTCGGGCATATAAATTTTTATTGAGCTTGGGCACGAGTATACAAATACCTAGCATAACCCAACCTATTTCAAAACCTATAGACTAAATGACCCTAAAATGACCCCGGTCATTTCTAAATGACCATGGTCATTTGGTCACGAGTCATTTCAAAATGACCCAAAATTGAGATGATCGATAATGACCGGTCATTTCGGGGTCATTTGAAGCCATTTAGCAAATTTGCAAATGATCAGGTCATTTACCATCACTGGGATCTGCCGAAGGTGGTAGCGGATAATGTTAAGAAAATGGAATCGGTGTTAAAAAACTGTTGTAAAGCATTTATTATTAAAGAAATCTCGAATGAAAAAAGTCAGATAAAATTAAAAGGTTTGATGGAATGTTTTATATGTGAATTTTTTTATGAAAAAGGTATTGAAGTTGAAAAGATGAATACAAATCATTCGATTTATTATAAAATTCCGCAAAATTAAGAAAGTATTACTTGAACATATTGTCTTGGTAATTGATGTGAAATTGAGATTGATGTTAAAACCCCCCCCCCCGAACGTAGTGAATCAATTATTATAAAATTCTGCTAAAATGGGAATCGCGATGGAATTAGAGTTAATAAAGATGAGCATAAAGTGATCATTCATTATGAAAATCGGCAAAAAATAAGAAATATTAATGGAATGTATACTCTTAGCAATTGTAACAAAAAGGAATTGATCGTAAAAAGCGAGTATTGGTATCAAATGTAAATATTATTTTTTATCTGTTACAGTATACTCAAAATTATTTAAAAATGCTTACGTATTTAATTAATTAGGAATGAAACTTCATCAAAACATTGATTATAACAAAATTTTGCGGTTTAACCATATAAAAGACTTAAAAAATCCGAAATGATTAGTTGCAAACGACATAGTGAAAATATTGATATAGATGATGATTTAAAAAGAATATTGAATGATGTTAATTGTCAATATTCCTTATAACGAATTTGAAATTATCAAATAAATAGGTCAAGGTGGGTTTGTAACACTAGGTGGCGAGATCAAAAAACTTAATGAGATCGTATTTAAATCACTTGATAGGTCAAAAGATTATTGTATTTCATTAATAAAGAGGTAATTATTTATACATTAATGCTCAATTATAGGCTCTTTACTAACTTATACACTATTGAATTTTAATACGTATTAAAGTTGAAGGCATATTTTGATATGTATAACGAGAATCCCACATATTTAAAATCCTATGGCATATCAAAAGATAACAATTCTAAAAATAATATCTTTGCTCTTGAATATGCAGCAAAGGGGACTCTACTGATAATCTTAAGTCTATAAAGCCAATGAAGTGGAAAGATAAATTATTATACTGCTTCAAATTGCTTCAGACCTTCGGACTATTCGTTCTAAAAATTGTATTCACCGAGATTTACATAGTAGTTATACATATATTCAAATTTATGGCTCTCAATATTGACTAACAAGGCAGAACTTAGTACATAATCATTGTGGAATATTACCATACATGGTTCCGATAGTGTTAAAGAATGAACTATATGTGAAATAACCGCTGGAGAACCTTATGATCAAAACAATATTAATCTGTAATAGCTCTGTCAAAATTTTTCGGAAGAATGCCGTTAGTATATATTGATTTGGTTAATAACTGTATGAATACAATTACAATCGTATTTGAACGCCGTTCGTCAAATGATATTAAGAATTTTTAGACAATTAGACAAAAAATTGCTATATGAAAAATTTTTGAAATGGTTGATCAGAACTTTCTACAAATTTATGCGCAAATTCCATAATAAATATTCTTTAATTAATTCAGAATTAAAAAATAAAACTATTGTTACGCATGACCTTATTTAGATTATAATACAGTACTACTAGATCTTGCACATACCAAAGTTAATAAATTTATGAATGTAAATTAGTTTAATTCTTATTATATCAAATATCATAAAAGTCAATTTTAAACGTGAATATGAGCAACGATTTAAATAAATTGATCATTGTTGTAAAATAGTGCACTTCGCTTTCAGATAATGGAGTGTTAATGAATATGATCGCTTGATATGCTTCGATGATGATTCATATCGACGGGTTGGATTTTTCGGTCTTTTTCATAAAGAAGATTACGAGATTTTTATTTTTAAATGGCACTGAAAAAAAAACAACAAACAAAACATTGTCACATTCAATAAAATGGCTTCTTAAGTATCTGTACAAAGGAAAAGAATAAAATAAACAGCTATACTAAGAAGTGGAAGGAAGCACTTACACCATTTGTTGATGATGATTAAGCTTTGATTCTGTGACATGACATGGAGAAATTAGCATCAGGATTCTTTTTAGACGCTTGCATATTTGAAGTTTAAATAAAGTTACTTATACTTCTTTGCCAATATTATAAATTAGCCAACATATTAACATGAGGCTGATATGACAGCATTAAGTCTCTTATTTACATTCGTTATTACATAATTAACACTTAAATCAACAATTTTTATGATAAATGAGATTTTTTAATTGCCCACATTTAAGACATTAAATGAACTTCTTTTATATTATGCTAAAAAAATTTATATTCAGAATTATTATCTGATCTCATTTCAATATTTTTTTGGAAGTTCATCCTTTTTTAATACTGTAATTTAAGATTGAAAACAAATGTGATTCTTCAAAATCGGTTATTAATTTCTTATCAAGAGCTATAAATACTATTGATTAGGGATGCAAATGGTTTAAAACACTATCTTAAAAACCATGAATTTTTTACGTCTGTTAAAAAATGTTTTAATACATTATAAAGTAATTATGATCGATTGCGTAATTTAAATTTATAATATTTCTTTATTATGATTACAAGCATTCAAAAAAAAGACAATGTCTCATGTTTGTGGAAGACTCAGTAAAAAAATCCGTTTAAACTTTATAAAAGTTACTGAACCTAATAAACATGATCGACAACACCTAATCAAAAATGTAATTATTGCAAAGAATACTATGTTGATTTAGTTAACCGATTAAAAGGTCATTTATTAGAATGTAAAAAACTTTCAAGAAATATAAAAGAGATTTATTAAAGCTCAGAATCAGGATTTTGATCTTCAAATAATTCATCGCAAAAACTGGTAAAATCGTAACCTGGACTTTCAATAACAACAGACAGCCTCAAAGGCTGTATTTTGCTGATAAGCCAACTTCGCATTTAAAAATAAAATAGTTTTAAATATATATATTAATTAAATATTTATTTATTTTTTGTGTAATATCTAATAAATTCAAAATTACAATACATCGCGTCTTTTAAATAAATTTTCTTAATTGAAAATTGAAAATTAAAATTACCAATATCTTCAGTTTCAGCAAATTTTAGCATCAGACGGCAATGTTACGAAAAAAAGGTTTAAAGCAATAAAAAAAATATATTAAAAAACAGTTTAACCCTTTTTTTTTTATACCATCCCTACTACTGATTACATAGATCCTTATAGAGCACTTTACCAATCTTAATATACAAATTTTAAGATAACACTCAACAGAAGTGAAATTCAGCGGGTACGCTGTTTCTAAAAAACAGCATTAATGATTAATGTTCGGTAAACTAAGTAAAAATGCTCAACACTCTAAAAATCCTAATTACTAACTATAATTTAAGCCATAACCCTAGCCCTATAGCCAAATTTTAGCTTTAAAATTAAAGGTGGATCACATAATAACGTTTAAAGACATATAAATTGAATTTCACCCAATGAATTCCATAAATAATTGCAAAGACTATGGATCCAACTTAATTGTAGCCATTGTGTTGAAGAGGGTTTGTTTTTTTGTGCTATTGAATAGACAATAAAGATGAAATGTTTGCAACAGTGATAAAGATTAAATTGCTGAATGCTACTTAAATTTTACCAAAAATGTAAAAAAATCAATCGATATAAATTTAGATTTATTATATATTCTGATATGTAGAATATTCCGATATATTAATGTATGAGATTTTAACATTTTATAATCAACCATAGTACTAATTCAATTAGATTATCTTCATTTTTTAAATTTAGTTTATATATAAAGCAATTCTAATTCAATTAATCGAATTTACATGGCGCAGACTATTCTATAAAAATACTGAATTCTAAAAAGTTACTCATTTATAAAAATATAAAAATATATGAATACTGTATTAACAACTTTTTATAAAAATTAATCCAAATAATTATAATACGTAAATAATATAATAAAAATGATTGGGCGCGTGAAATAATATTTTATATTGAACACAATTCAATGTAATAATATCGATATAGTAGCAAATGTAACATATGGCATCTATGTAATGTGCACCGATATATAATTAGGACAGTATTTAAAATCTGATTTTTACTTAATTGAAGTATGATTAAATGAAATTACAAGTAATGATTATTTATAAACTAAATTGCACCTTTGGTCTCTCCCAATGCTTCATATATTCATGCAAATATATCAATTGATTTAGTTTCTAATAGCGTGATTAAACTCAAAATAGTCTATTTATTACATAATAATTTTTCTACAAATTCCAATTTGCGCACTTATCTTTTTATATAGTATATATTGAACAAGAACAAGATTTTGTTAAAGTACGTATATTGTATTGTTAAAATTCTTTAAAAAAAGACCAAATAGAAATTCATAAGCTTTTATTGAAAACATTAAATCGATTACAAATTATATTTTTTTTAAAAAAAAAGCACTTTAGCTTTGCTTATAATAAATTTTTTCATGATTACAACATGAATAACCTACAAATTTTTTTTTTATCACATTAATACAACAAACATAGGATATTATCGTATTATTTTGGCAACAAATGGGTCTACAAAGTCACTATTTTTTTCGTGTGGTTCCAAGTCACATAAAAAAAAAATCAAGGAATTTCCATGCTAATTAATTGTTTGCTACCAATCAATTTTGATAGCTGTTCGATGATTTCATGTGTGTTGATGTGTTTGGAAGTGTACATATGATTTGGGTGCTTTTGTGTGATAATCGGTAATTCATTGACTGTTTTATCAGCTTCCAAGAATTGATTTTTAATTATCATGATCTCATTATTCTCTAAGATAGAAGAATTACTAATGCAATTAATCCATTTACCAAGATTATCAGAAATATAAGAAGCTGTAGGTCGTTTTTGTGGATCAGGATCCATGCATTGTTTGGATAATTCAATGTAACAATCAGGAGTTCCAGAAGCAAAATTTGGTCGTAGTCCTTCGCATATATCTAATGAGAGGCTAAGATCGAATAGACGGCCATCAAAAGGTCTTTGCCCTGTTGTTACTTCAGCCATAATAACTCCAAAACTGTAAATATCTGCTGCTTGTGTGAAACGTTTTTCTTGTAAAACCTCAGGGGCGATGTAAGGTAAGACGCCATAAATCCCTCCTTGGCAATCTGTAGATAAAGAGAGTCCTAAATCTGCAATATATGCGTTATCTATAGCATACTGTAAAATGTTACCACTATGCAAATCTCGATGAATATAACCTTGAAAATGAATCATATCAAGATCATAAGATATACATTGTAACAAATTTAACTTTTTTTTTTCCAGTCTAATCTTGCTACTTCAGCAAGGTTTTTGCTCAATGAATTCTTATCAGCATACTCTAAGATAAGAACATAACGACCATCATTTTTTGTTATTCCGTAGCACTTTAAAAATGACGGGTATACTTCTCTAATTTCACAATATATTTTTAATTCTTTCATAAATTCTATTCGATCATTTGATTCAAGTACTTTAAGTGCAACATTGGTATCTAAATCCCTACTATTATCAGACCAACGAGCATAATAGACAGTTGCAAATCCACCTTTTCCTATTTCCTCGATAGCACTAAATTCATTATATGGAATCCAAGGTAATTGATATTTATTTTCGATTAACATGTTTTTTAAACCATCATCGACATCAGATCTTTTAGATGCGCAATCGTATGCAACTAAAAAATACAAATAGATAGATTTGAAATTATTAAACAATAATAATAAAATCAATAATATAAATTACCTATCATCAAATTCGTCGCTCTAATCATATACAAATTATTTCGTTAAAAATAAATACATATATAAATATAAATTAAATTATTTTTTACCTTCTAAAGCAATAATTGGCTTTTTGTATATTTCTTTCAACTCCGATCCCATTTCGATAACATAATGCAACAAACCAAATTCCAGCAGCATCGCCCATGTCTGCAGCTTTTTGATAGTATTCGAATGCTTTATGGTCATTCTTCTTGACACCATTTCCATTATAATAACAATTACCAACATTATATATTCCATTGACAACTCCCATCTCTGCAGATTTCTGATAATAAATAAATGCCTTATGTTCATCCTTTTCAACTCCAATTCCCATATCATAACGATATCCAACATTATATGTTCCACTAGCGTTACCCATATCAGCAGATTTTTGATAATAAATGAATGCCTTATGTTCATCCTTTTCAACTCCAATTCCTTCATCATAACAATATCCAACATTATATGTTCCACTAGCGTTACCCATATCAGCAGATTTTTGATAATAAATGAATGCCTTATGTTCATCCTTTTCAACTCCAATTCCTTCATCATAACAATATCCAACTTGAAATGTTCCGCTAGCGTTTCCCATCTCTGCATATTTTTGATAATAAATAAAAGCCATATGTTCATCCTTTTCAACTTCAATACTATGTTGAAAATCATATCCGAGATTACAAGATTTAGTTGCATTTTCTTGATTTATTATATCCATTTTTATGTTAAAATTGATTTTTTAAAGTTCGTTTATGTTAATTTAGCGTTTAGATTTTGGTTAGATGTTAGTAGAGTAAATAGTAAATTTTTATAAGAAAAACTTTAAATGAACGGTTTAATTTAGCTGATCGTGTTACGTTATACAAAGCAAATTATGTATCTCCTGCAGGAGCACCCTTTTCATATTTTTTATATGAACACTACATTTGTCTACTCGTAATTATTTAAAGAATTATAAACTATTTATCTATAGTAGTTTTAATCACCTTTTTTTTCTAAAGTTAAATGTATTGTGCTGATAAAAATATTTTTTTTCTTATTAGAAAAATATATAAATAATCAAACGTATTGTTTTTGTTTCATAAATAATACATAGATTCTACGGTCAAAAGTGCATAAATTTCATAATTGGTTCAAAATTTAATGTAAAACTCCTAAATTCCGAGGTTACAGTCGTGTTATTTGAAGTATTGTTAAACATCTTTTGTTATTTCTTTAATTTTCACACTTCAATTCAGACCTTCATTATGTAAAAGTTCTCTCATTCTTAACATTCTCATTTGTAATTTTGATAGTTTCTACTAGAACACGAATACGGTTTCTTTATGTTACTGCTTTTTAAAAATAATATCAGATCTTGTATAGTTTTTATCCCAACACATATTAAGTCTGGAAGCATGGTTATTGTTCTTGGCTACTGTACGCTTTAGACTACGACATGTCATGTTTTAAATTATGTGATAATCTAAAATTTGTTAAGAGTTAGCGTTATAATTAGGATTGGAAATACAGTAATTTGCATATATAATTGGTCGAAAAAAAAAGATTTTTAACCTATATAAGTTTCTATGTAAACTCTTGAGATAAAAAATATTTTATCAAATGAATGTTTGTTTTAGATGCTTACAAAATAAAAATCCGAGAATCTTTATTTTATTTTTCTGATTTATAATTCAACATAGTAAAATTGCTATTGAAAAATTCTATTTATTTTCGAAATACGATTCTGTAACGATATTTTGAGCAATGTGAAAGATATTTATTGGTCAATAAAAATTCAAATTAACATTTATTTCTTAATTCATTTCGTTCACGCTAATTCTGTGGGGAAAATGAAATCATAAAAATTTAGTTAATTTAATTCACTATAGGCAGCAAATCCAATAGGCACATAAATTTAAATTCAGGTTTAAGTTCTTATTACCGACACATAATGAGTAGTACAATAAAAGACTATTTTTTAAACATAAAAAACCGTCATAATTATTAATCGAGAATGTATAGCATGTGTTTATTCAACTTAAAAAATATTGTAATTTTTGAACAAATAATCTAAACATATAGTAATTTTAATAATCATCAGACTTATCTTCATAACCAAAATATCTACAAACCACACCAAAATTTGTAATTTCCTTAATTTCTTCCTTAATCTTTTCTTCCATCGAAACATCAATAAAAAAATCTTTGTAATAAAATATAATTTCTTTTAAACTTTTACAAGACTTAACGTTAATAAATTTTCTAAGACTAATATAATGATCCAACATTGGTTGATCATTTCCGATATTAAGCTTTTCTAATTTAACTAAATGATTACAATTTTTTAAAAGATTATCGAATCTTTCAGAAGTCAAAGAACACTTTTTTAATTCTAAACATTTTAAAGTAGTTGGTAAATTTTGTCCTAATTTATGCGAAAAATTGTCAGTATAATATGAAGTTATAGTAAAATGTTGAAGTGATGATTGAGTAAGAAATGGTAACAAGAATTCATATCCTTCTCTGATGTAGACATGTAAATAGTTAAGGTTTGAACAACGGTTTATCAAAGTCCTTGATAATTCATGTGTTTTAATTTTATCCAAATATAATCTTTCTAAAGACGAACCCCAAATCTCGATTAAAGAATTTACAATTGATGAATCAAAACATTCACTTAAAAGCTTAAGCTCTTTCAAATTGTCCAATGGGCTAATTGATAATGAAGTACAATGATCCGATGTTATCCCTTTACAATTTATAAATTCTAACAAATCCAAATTTCTACATCGTGAGAGTGCTTTGATATCAGAAGGTGAAATTGTTGAAAAATCTACTTTTAAGAATTTAAGATACTTTAAGAAAGGTTTTTGATCTAAGGCCATAATTAATTTTGCAATATTTCCTAATGCTTGATCGATATGAAGACTTTTTAACTTCTTTTGAGCTTTAATCACGTTTGAACAAGAAGTAATCAGCTCATCACTCGGATTACTGGATTTTAATGAAAGATAAATTTCTCTAAGATTAGTGCATATCGTAGATATTGATTTTAAAAATTCTAATGTGATCGGAATGTTTAAATAATTATGTGCATATAGGCAACATTCTAATTTGACTAACTTGGATAATCCGGGTGTATAATTTACGAATAACGCAGCTGGCGGAAACATGTTAAGTTCATTATCATCAGGAATCAACATATCTTTAAAATTTTTACTTGTTCGTATGAACATAGTGATTAAAGAATGAGCAATTACTTGAACAATTGCAGAATCTCCATGTGGTGAATTACTATAACGAAGCCACTTTATGATTCCATTTCTAAGATGATAAATTTTAAGAACTGTGGTATAAGAAGCATAGTCAAATAATGGTTTTTGAATAGTAGGAAGGGATATATTAAACGGGATTAATAATGTTTGTTCTTCTTTATTTAATAAAGAAAGATATATTTTCATTTGTGTTGGCTTAATTCCTGACTGTAATATTCCTTTCCACAATATTGGTACAACATTTCTACACCAATGGCGGTTTACAAGAAGGCATGAAAATAAATATCTTCTATAATTAACGTTCATAGGAAGGTGGGCAAATACTTCTGAAAGGCATTCGTTTGGTAACGTTATCATTTTGAAAAGAATGATATGAGGGGATTTAGGTTGATTATTGTAACGGTTTTATATGCGTAATACGTAAATGATCTTCATACCGACATGGTGTAGATTAATACTGTGATTCGGGGAATTGTTCTAGATTTGGCCATGAATAGTTTACAACATCAGAACTGCAGAACTGTTGCCAAGAGGACGATTTTACCTATAGAAATTTTCGGAGCTAACCTTAATAATTTTTTAATTACCTGGTTTTACCCAAAATTTGACCTTCACATCGCAAATCAAACGTATTTGGTAATCAGGTGTAATGTAACGCAGTCACATTCGTTAACATATGAATCATTACAACGTTCGGTTTAAAAAAAACGGTAACGAGAATAGAAAAATCAAAATACTAAAAATTTTACAACTTTAATTGTCGCTTTTAATTCTAATTTGAACAGTTCAAAAAGATTATCCGCCATTTATTGTTATTATGGATTATTCTGGCTGATTATTTAGATTGGAGGCAATTAATTATTATAGCTGTTTTCAAATTTTGAGACAATTGAAACGGCCGAATCGATGAGTTACTATTGTCGGCCGATATTAGTAAACTTATCGAATCTACCAAATATTATGTTTTTATTATCTATCCCTAATTTTTATGAGAACAGCTGAAATTTTTCAGTTACCCTAAAATTTATAACCGCTATAAAGATAAAGTTTATAATGATCTTCAGCCGACAGTAAAATTATCGAATTTGCTAAATGATCATCGATTAAATTTTTTTTTAAATTGTTCTAGAATTTCAGTGACGTTTTACGTATTCCAATAAGGTAACTGCATGACATAATCATGTTAAAATCAGGAACGTACGGCCTAATATACGTACGTACGTACAGTACGTACGTTCATAAAATTTTTATTATACCATTACCAACTTATTAAAATTAGTGTCCCTCTTATCCATCGGATATCCAAATAAATTCAGATCCGGATAATTAGATGATACAGTAAACGGATGACTGATTTATCCTGATTGAACTCTATACTAAAAAAGATTATCCTATTTAAGAATTCTGTAACATGAATCTATTAATCGCCAGTGCTAATTATATCTAAGGTTCTCAGCACGCATGTTCAGATAATAATATTTTGGAAAACATAACATTAATTATGCTCTCATTTTAGAACATAAAATTGTGAATATTATTATAGAAAGGATCTTTTGAAAAAAAAAAATTTTTTTTGAAAGCCTGAATCAAGATTTTGTTACGAAAAAAAACACTCGGATCTAATACTAGGTTCACTACGTTCCCGATATTTTTTTATTTTTATACTGATAAACATGAAATTTTTATTGGTAGTTGGCCGAGTTAATAATACAAATAACAGATATATAAATCAATATATGACGTACGCAATCTACTATGAAAAATAGATTTTCAAGTGATATACGTATTTAAAAACCAAGTTCATCCAAATTTGTTTAATACCTCTAGCTCTTTAACAATCCATTTTATTCCCCTTCTCTTATGATGTTTTTCTAAATTAAGCAATTCTTCCAGCATTAATTTCTCTCTAACTTCCTGCAAAATACCACCAAGTCTATTACGTCCATCACCTTTTTTACCTCCATCACCCCAATAAGAATCATTATCAGTATGTTCGATTAACGATGCATTACTTGTGGAAAGTAATTTATATCGTAAATATTTATGTTGAGAGAATTTCTCTAAAATTGCTTTTTTCATTACAACTTCTTTAAAAATTTCGCCATTTGGTGGCTTTGGAGACTCCCAATCTTTACGTTTTGAACTTTCATTGTTTCTACCAATCATAAATGCACCACGAGCGCTCCAAGCAAGACGAATTTTTTCTTGAAGCCAACAACCTTTTTCAAATTTTTGAGCTTGAACTATTAAAAAATTAATTTTAATTAAAAAATTATTTAGAAAAATTTAAAAAAAAAAAGTAATACGTAAAGACTTCAAGATACTTAACAATAACTTTCAGAGGAATGCCATTCTTTAGAATCAATTCGGATGGGTGCAGAATAAAAATTGGTGAATTCATAATAAGGGTCCTTTTTATTATAAAAACGAATGGCATCCGTGTTTATCATATTTCTATCAAGGAAGTAAATGCTCTAAAGAAAATTGGGCATAATGTTGTTATTTATATAAATTGATAAATGATAAATAAAATATATTTAACTTACGAAAAAAAAGTTAAGTCCCATTGTAGGATTACAGATCAGAGCAGTGGGACCAGCGTTTGTATGAAAATGTTTAATATAATCATTATTCTCTTTATTTTCATTATTATTTTCATTATTCTTTGGTTGAATGATAATAATATCCAAAGTCAGATTGTCGCAAACTCTACGGATTTCTTTTATAAATTTAGTAATATCTTCACAAAATCTAGAATTAGAATATACTAAAACTACGATATTCCACCCGTTTGCCCAGCAATTCAATGCACATTCTTGAACAAATTCTGTTGCAGCTCGTGTTTTTGATGATCTTGAGCGCTTGGAAAAATCACGAAAAATAGGATGAAAACCAAATATATGAAATTGATCATCGTCTAATTCACATTCACAAATCGCATCTTTTCTGAAAGAAATGAAGAGTGCAAGCGAACGAATTTCAATATTCTTTGACAATAGTTTCTTGCGATTTTGTGTATCTATGTAAATAAATAATTAATTTTTTTTTTAAACAAAAATTTTTTTTTAATAAGATTAGTAAAAAATACTAACCGATTGAACGTTTTGGAAAATCCATGATAAAATCATAATCTTCGTCTTTAAATAAATCTTGTGACCGCTTTTGTAAATCTCTTTTATGACTACAAAGATTTTTTAACAAGTTTCTCATTATTGAGAAATTTCATGCCTCATGAAGTTATAACTACGATTATAAAAGATGTAATCAAAGCTTTAGAAATTTCTACCGATATATAGAATATTTATCTTTAGGAAAAAATTTAAAATGGTGAAATCAGATAAAGCGTGTATGTTTGGCTTTAGTCTAATCATTCTTTTTGTCACCTGTGCAAAATTTCTTTTACTTTTTACTCAAAGATAATTAATTAGCCTTATTTGAGTCTTTCAATAATAGACTACTTTTTATGTCTATCGTGAATGATGCCGTACATAGTCAATTTTATTACCAAAAAAAATGTGAATTATTAAGATAAAGCATAATCATTTTGAGTTAATACTAAATATTATTGATAAACATCGATACGATACAGTACTACAATAAATCAAATGTTCTTTTCTATTGTATCTGAATTTGAACATTTATAAGTTGGGTGCGTGCCAGAATTTTAAAATTAGTCTTCCTTTTTTTCTGTTGGTGAAATTCAGACACAGCAATACAATATCTTTATTGTTTTATATATTGTATTGTCCGTCAAAATGTAATTTCGTACTTATATTTTTAGACACCTATGCAAACTCTAAACCAGGCAACATTATCTGTAAAGAAAATGATTGTTATTATAAGGTATGCTCCGAGCACGTAATGCTATTGCATTAACACTGTTAAGATAATAAATAAGTTTGTTTTTTTTAATGAACCTCATCATCATCAGTAGCGACGACGATGACTTTAATAATGAAGTTGAATATTATAGCTAATAATGAAATATAGTATCTGAATCTACGCGTCGATGGACATTAAAAATTGCGAAAATTTACAAATGCTAACACCAAATCGACATTTGAACTTATATAAGTTAATCAACTTCAACACAATACAATTTACTAAACAGGAAATTTTTCAAAATATTTATTTTTGTCACTAATATTTTCTTTTTTCGATATTAAGTCAATTATAATAAAGGATGTGATACAGAAAAAAGCAATAGTGAGGAATCTAATGTAATATAGAAAAAAATTATTTTAAGAAGCTTTATAGTCAAATCAGAATAAAAGTGTTATTAAGATATGTGAATCAGTGACTTAATAAAATTTCTTATTATAGAATTTCAAACGATTTGGTCATGCGTATCGTAATGTAATGCAACATCGTAACAAAAAAAAAAAAAATCAGACATATAAAAAATTACTATTTTCTCATAAGTATACACACATTTAATAATGACTAATATATATGTGCCATACTCGGAACGGAATTATTGTAGATTTAGAATCCACTCATTCTGAATACACATAGATTGTAATAAAATTCTAAAAAAAAATGTGCCAAGTCGTTAAAGAATTCCAATTCAACTTACAACAAAACTATGTGTATTCTAAATTATTTCATCAAGTACGTTGTTTTGGAGTTTAAGTCGCTCTAAGATAGGATTTATTAAAGAAAGTACATTGTAAAAAATTAATTACATTTAAAAGCATTGCACAAAGTTTTTACACTATGATTAGTAGGATGCAACTATTCCCACAATGTACATCCATTTTTTTTATATTTACAGCGATTTGAATTACGTTTAATAATATCTATTTGTAAAGGGGAAGAATACTATTCAATTCTGGAAACTTGTCAAGACCCAATGAACACAAATTGTTTTGAGTTAAATTTAACAACTTATGTTTTAATATTGAGTGTTGCAAATGTATTTTTTGCCAAATAATGATTTTTCGCATCCCTGATTACCGAATTTTGTAAAAGTTTAATACAAAAACAAGAAAGTAACGTATTACTGTTTAAACGTTCATATGGGAGACAAAAAAGTCGCTCTGTTAAATCAGAATACCGAAATAAAATCAAACCGCGCCGAATTTAAACCTAAATTTAAAACTTACAGCAGACATACATGTTCAAAAGTAGAAAGCATTATAATGGTCTTGGATGAAAGTAACCCATTTCTTTCTTTCAGAGGGTCCCTTGTAATTAATCATTGGCTCCTCATTGTAGCTTTCCAAATTAATAGGTCGGCTATCATAATAAACACCACAAAGCATGCTATAGTGATAAAATACGCAAAACGATTCTTCCTGCGGATAGCCTAATAAATACGGACAAATTACAATGAGTATTTCGGATTGCAGCACAGAGTATATATGACTTGAGTATTACATTTTGAATTCAGGACATCTAATCACAAAGTTTAAAAGTATAATGGACACCGCAATTCATACGATAACCAAGTATCAAATAACTTTTTATATAATAAATGAAGGTAAAAGGCCAAGTACCTGTCAATTGAATACGCCAATCACAAAAATATTGACTGCCACAAATAGAAACGCCTGGAATCAAAATGAAACGGCCAATACAACTTTGAGAGAATTTATTTAAATTCAAACCTGGGGACATAGAATTTCGACAGGATTTGTTGTATTAGCGAAAGTTGATATTATATTTGAAAACTGTTGGAATAGTGGTTGCAATTTAAAGGATCGAAATATTCAAATAAAACAAAGGATACCTACAATACGTTTAGTGCAACGAATCCATTATTCTTTGAATTTAGTACCCAAAAAAAGAGCGCAGAAGTTATTTCTTAGGTTTTATATAGAGAGTGCCAACCTTCATAGCAGCACGTGTATAATATATATGTATAATGGAATATATATGCATAATGGAATATAAGAAAAACAAATTATCAACGTGGTCGTAATGCAGCGATTGATTGGATATAATAATCAGAAAGATAAATATCACCATATTATAATGATAGTTTGGAAATATATAAGTGAAATTGTAGCACGGCCACTATCTATCATGAGTATTACACCATTTTATGTCATAAATCACTTTCTTTTTATTTCGTCATCCACGCTTGATATATTGTACGTGCATACGTCATCCTAATCTTTAATACAGTATCCTCAGCAAAGACTTTAATAAAGATTTTAACACCATATTTTATGTTGAGGGAGTGCATCTGAAGTGCGTCGGGTGTGCATATTTAATGTATGGTAAAATAACAGATTATACTAATAAAGAATTAATGACATGTAACAGGTATCTTTGTCATAGTGATAAAGATAGTATATATATAACCGGAAATTTTACCCAAGATTCGCGATGCAGAAAAATATGTTCTTCCAACGCATTTTAGATGTAAACCTAGTATAAAATAAGGCAATGGTGATGGTTAAGAAACTATCAATTACAACTATCACATTCACAATTAACGGATGCATTAATCCAGTGATGGTAAATGACCTGGTCATTTGCCGATTTTTCAAATGACCCTGAATGACCTCAAAATGACCGGTCATTTGA